AAAAAAAAAAAAAGTAAGAGGGAACGACGGAAAAAGAATAGAGAACCTAGAGTCTAAGAAACGAACGAAGTGCGTTCGTCGCTACGCATCGCCGCTGAAATCGTCACGAACGAAGAGCACGGACAAAAGTGTGGAACACAAAAAGTACTGGGAAAAAAAAAACTATTTAATTCCAATTTACTGATTTAGATTTTTTTCCTGTTAGATTTCAAACCCTCGAGATTAAACTAATCTCTACTGAAAAAATTTAACAAAGTTACGGCATTCGTTAGAGCCATAGTCGATCATCAATGGCAGACATTACTTTGTCGAGGGATCGAAATCAATTTTATTTTTTTAGAAAAAATTTTGCTCAGATTTGTATAAAAAAATTTTTACAGAAAAAAATATTACACCTTTGAATAGTGTCTCCTCTTGGAATATTTTAGAATTATTAGATATTTTCTCTCTATATCTATATCTTAGTCTATATTAGATATTTCTCTTAGATATTTTAGAATCTGTGTAATAGAAGTTGGAACAAATTATTTCAGGACGTTTAATTAAAAAGCAACTTTTATATTCGAGTACTAATTCATCGAATAGTATTCAATGTCAACAAATATTTGTCGCAAACATTTTTAATATCGACGAACAAATTACCTTTTTTACATGTTACATTTTTACATTTCTTAGAAGTTCTATTCTGTCTGAAGCTTTTATTTTTTAAGAACAATTTTTTTTTTTTTTTTTATACATCTGTTCTCATATCGGGACTTGCGATGTAAGAACATCTTTCGAAAAAGTTCTACGATCCATGTTTCAAACAGAATTTAGTAGAAAAGTTCGTCGTCTCTTTCGATCCCCGATTAAAACAAGATCTTCGAATGACGCAGATAATATCGTTCTACGGTCTCTATCGGGACTTTTAAAGCAAAATTACAACTGATACGTTCGTTTCTAATAATAGTGTACTATATATAGAAGTAATATGTACAATATCAATTCCTTTTTATAATAATATAAGTTATGTAAAAAATTAGATGTACAAATATTTTTTTCACCCACTGTACATAAAATACATTCGCGTGGCAGTTGACGCGTTAAACGAACCTTACACTTTCCCACAAGCATTCTGTCCCTCCTTCGACACTATAACAATCGATCTTCAACGTTAAAGCTTCCCGTACGAACAGAAGTATTGCGCGGGACATTTGCAATGGCGATGGCAGCATTGTTCGCCAAACTCTACTCTCGAATGGAAACGAGATGCATTTATACCTGTACAGTATATATATATATATATATACATCTAATTTTACGTGGCCGTAAAGTTTCGCCTGGTAAATTCGCCCGCGCGCGGGGGCAAAAATTGCCGCACACCGCACGGCTACGTGATGAAAATCCGCAATAAGAAACTTGAGGGAACACGTAGGGAGAAAGAGTTGAGCGAGATGAAGGGAAGATGGAAGAAACAGAGGGACG